TCATCTTCTGCTTCCTCCTATCAATGAGACCACAACCTGGCACTAAGCCCGGGAAGCAACAGCTTTTTGGCCTCCTGGTTCTTTCTTTCCTGAAACTTGAATCTCTGCTCGGAGTCACTTCACTGCTCCAAACCGAGTTAGTTCCAGAGTTATAGGGACTTGACTCAAATGACCTTGAAGGTTGGTTATTAGAGAGTTTATAACCATTTGCCTTTCCATTTGTTTCAGCATTTTGCTTGTTTTTTTCATCTTGGACGGTCTCTTGGAGAAGGTCAAAGAGTTTCTTCTTGCCAGCAGTTGGTGAAGGCTCAGATTTTGGGTCTGGAAATGTTGGGAGATGTAGGGATTTGTTTGCTTGAGGAGTCCCTGGAGTACTAAAGTAATGCTTTGGAGTGCTACCTCTTGAAGGCGTAAGATCTACAATAGAAAATGAAATGGGTGTGAAATGATTCTAAAATATAGCATCTTCAAATTCATATTAAAAAGTATGGGTAAGCACAATACACCCCTATTTTATGTTAAAATTCCTAAACTATCTTATCTGCACTCACACCCCCTGAACTGGAGAATCTTCCATTTGACTGGGATGTCATGCAAAAATCAAGTGACCTTAATTACCTTTGGCCCCCAAGTTTAACTGAAAAAGGAGTAATGCCCTATAAATTAAGGGCAAAAAAGTAAATAGTGTTCGGGATTCAGTATGAGTAAGTGCTGATAAAATAGTTGATGGGGAATAACTAATAAGTGGCCAGAATCACCATAGTACATGGGGTGCATCTGCAGCTAACCCTAAGACGTAAGATAAAATAATATGATAGATAGAATTCATACCTCCATTCACACTGAAGAAGTCATCTTCACAGTCTGAATCTAACCATGCCTTGGAATCGAAGAAGATTTCATCTTTACTACCTATTACATCAAACGATATAAACTTGAATTCGGAAGGTATCACCACGCTATGTCTAACTACTTTTTCAAGGAGAAAAATACATGAATAAGAAGAAAACTCAATTAGAACCTGAGATAACATTAATAGGAATTATTTATTATTAAAATCAAAATAAAAAAATTCAGAAATAAAATGTGCATTTTGTTGAACTTTCTTAATCTTACTGTAGATATAAATTGAAGACGTGAATTTATAGAGTTTGAAATTAAAAGTCGACAGTACTATATATATGGTGCCTTATACTACCCTCATCTCAAACATTTGACTATCTCGAGCTTTTTACAGTATGTACTCATTCACGTATTAATGATAAGCTTGATTACAAACCATAATCTTAAATTCTTAATAATACTCACAACTTTTGCGGGAGATTATCCATACATTACCCCCGATAACAATAATAATAAAGGAACAGGTGAATAATTACACCAATCCATATAGTTTGGTTTTAACTATATGCTAATACTTTACTCGACACATTTGAATTGTTTTAAACCAATAATCTTATACAAAGGCCATGACTGTAAAAGGCAGAAGCATGACATTTAGTTAAGGGGTCACCAACAAAAACCAACGTCAACTTCAGCATCGGCTGAGCTAAGCTAGTCAATCAACCTTTTTTTTTTTTTTTTACTATTCTTGATAACTTTGTTCCTTATCAACTACAATTAACTATAGTCAACATGACAAGAGAAGAAACAATGAAGGCGACACACCATCATCCAACAAATATTAAAAGGAAAAAGAGGGACCAGTCAACTTCTTATTAAACAGATAATTGGTGACACAGTGCTGTACTTTAAGTTAAAAACAAATAAGAACTTAACAAAATACTCCCGTCCAACAAATTAGAATTTATAGAAGAGGAGGATGGAGGAGATTAGAGTTAGGGTTAAGGGTTAGAAGGAAGAAGATGGGGTAAAATGGGAATATCTGATTTTTAGCGGGTAAACAATAAAATTATGTGTGACATTGCAAACATGTTAGCAAATAAAGGTGGTTTACATCATAAAAAAAACTTTAAAGATGGTAAGTATCAATTTTACCGGTAAAAGTAAATGTGATTTTAATGTGAAAACCCTAACTTTTGAGGATCAAATGATTTTTTTTAAAATAATTTGCAAACACCATGATCGTTACCTAGACAAACTACCCTTAACTCTATATGCAACCATTAACTATATACTTCTTAAGATTCAACTACAACAATTTGAAAGAAGATGAGTGCAAAAAACAGAAATATCCAAAGAAGTGTTAAATATCAAAATTACTGATAAAATACATCCAATACAAGATCAGCTACATCAGAATATTCCAATTTCTATAAATTAAAGTACCAAGCACTTAATCATGTCTTTAACACGATCACAAATTATTAATCTCCATTCTACATGACTTTTCCATGCCAAATTTACATTAGAGGTAAAAAAAATTCAAATTTCTGCAAATTGCTAGTATCAATCACTTACCAACAGCTAAGCAGTAAAAATAGAAAAAAAATCCCAAAAATACTTCAAGGAGATCACTCACCGAAACCCGAGTACCTAAATCCAGAATCTACAGCCGGATTCCCCTTAAATCCAAACTCTCCAACTGGGTTCTCTCCGCTGACGGTCTTCTCCTTGGGAGACGAAGAAAGGAAGAACCTTTTGGCCTTCGAGCCCAAACCCAGGTGAAATCTCATGGTATATATATGGCCTTAAAAAAAACTCTGTTTTCTCTGCGAATTTTCGCAGGGAGACAGAAAGAGGGGGAGGGGAGAGGACAGAGGAGCCGATCACTTGCAGTTAAAGGGAGGACCTTGTCATGGCAGAAGGGGAGAGAGGCTTGAGAGAGAGAGAGAGAGATCAAAATCAAATTGTGATTTTATTACTTGAAGGGAGAGGTGGGTTTCAATTAATGGCTGGATACACTGATTGGAGAGGGTGCCATTTTCTATTACTATTTTTTTTTTCCAATCGGTGGGTCCCCTTTTCGGTTCATGGGGGAATCAAATTTCTTCCTTCCTAGCTTCTACGAATAAAAATTTCTCTCTTTCAGAGTTTTTGCTTGGTAGCACTTAATACTTTCGCTTGGCACTTGCATACTGTCACATATTTTTCCATAGCATTTGTATGTTTCTAGCTATTTAAAATTCACACATCAGTAATATTTATCATACAAACATGAAAATTTTTATCTAAATAGTTCTATATGATACACATGTTAATTTTGATTCTTTTTTTTTTTGGCATAGAGTTAATTGATTCTAAATGCTATATAAGAACATTCGAATGAAAATGTTCACGTTTCCATAATGAAGGGTAATTACATGCTATATAGCTTAGACCATGCTATAAAAAACAAATGAGGATATACATGTGCAAATTGAGTGTAACAAGTATTTACGTGCTTTTTAGCCCTTTATTTATTTCTGGATTTGATTAAGTGTATATTTTGTGCATATTTCTCGCTCTTAAAAGAATTTGATCTTCCTCCTATTACCATAATTTATTATTATTATTTATTTATTGGACCCTAAATCATATATATATATATTTTAAATAAGCTCTCCAAAATCTCATATATTTTAAATAATTCTCCCGAATCTCTAAGTTCTCTTAAACATCCCCCCTAATTTTCATATATTTAAATAAAATTTTCAAATCTATAATTTCTCTTAATCAGTCTTGTTCGTTTTGCCCTCTTCTTTCTAGACATTTCCCCTAAAATCCCTCATGCTGCTTCTTTCCCTTCTTGTTATTTATTGAAAAGCCTCTATTGCACTCTGTATCAGGTATTAACGACAACCATCTAAGGAAGATGGCAGCAAAACTAACATGATTAAGATATGCACATAATACGTATATGCTTCTCAAGTGAAAATCAGAGAGGCTATTTTTTTTTCTTTCCTTTAGCAAATTAGAGTTATATTCTGAATTTTGATATTCTTAAAAATATACAGTTAGAGAGTTTGTAAAGACGTATTGGTATTTTATTTAAGAAAAGTAAAATAGTTGTTGTTGTCCCCACTATTTGAGCAGTGAATATTATTTTTCTCTGATAATGTTCATCATCGTTGACATCACGTTCATAACAGTGATTCATACGGGAGCGTTGCGCACACAGAATTTTTTTGAATGGCGATAGAGTTGTGACAATGAAAATACTATATGTACATTAGTATTCTGGATTTAATTTCTTGAACTATGTAGACATGTTTGAAACCCTTACCTAGGCCAAAGGCCTATGATGTATATTTATAGATAGTCAATGTGAATAGGTTGAGTACCCAAAAGTCACCCCCACTTAATGGGGTGTTACACCATCATAATGGGGGTGTGAATGGAGGGATAATGAGGGGGAGGCCAAAGGCCTCCCACATCTCATAATACTCCCTCTTATCCATCCATTACCTTGGGTTTAGCTTATGAACACTTCAGAGTTCGTAAAGCTAATGGGGTGGATACTTCTGGATCCAGAGTAAACTTGTTTGCCTCGTTAAAACCTTAGCTGTGGAAAACCCAGTGGGAAAAAACCATCAGCCTAAGGAAAAAGAGTACAACCCATAGGTTACTCCCCCTGAACCATACAAGCTTCAGGCTTGTAGGTCTTTCAGATGTCTCATCCCTATTCCTTTTACAAGTTTTACAAAAGTACATCTAAGCAGAGCCTTAGTGAACAAGTCAGCTAAATTATTACATGATTGGATCTGCTGTACTTTAACTTGCTCCTCCTCTTGAAGATCGTGCGTCCAGAAAAACTTGGGAGATATGTGCTTCGTCTTGTCACCCTTGATGAAGCCAGACTGAAGTTGAGCAACGCAGGCTGCATTGTCTTCAAATATAGTAGTTGGCTCAAGGTCACCAGTCTTCAGGCCGGTAGACACTAAGATGTGCTGAATGACAGAACGAAGCCAAACACATTCTTTGCTGGTTTCATGGATCGCGAGGAGTTCGGAATGGTTGGATGAGATTGCTACAGTGGTTTGCTTGACAGACCTCCAGGAGATGGCCGTACCACCGAATGTAAACACAAATCCGGTTTGTGATTTCTCGGTGTGGGGATCAGACCTGTAACCTGCATCTGAATAACCAATTAAGGTGGGAGACCCACCCTTCGGGAAATATAATCCCAGGTCTATAGACCCTTGGAGGTAGCGCAGAAGATGCTTAACTCCATTCCAGTGGCGCTTTGTGGGCGCTGCACTGTATCTGGCTAGTAGGTTAACTGAAAACGCTATATCGGGACGCGTACAGTTAGCCAGATATAATAGTGCTCCAATGGCACTGAGGTAAGGTACTTCAGGACCTAGCATTTCCTCCCCCTCTTCCAGCGGACGGAAGGGGTCGTTCTTTACATCCAATGATCGAACAACCATTGGTGTACTAAGAGGATGACATTTATCCATTCGGAAATTTTTAAGTAATTTCCGTGTATATGTGGATTGGTGTAACAGGATACCACCCTTAAGGTGTTCGATCTGTAAGCCAAGACAATACTTTGTTTTGCCTAGGTCTTTCATTTCAAAAGTATTCTTAAGGCTTTCAGATATCCCAGCGATCTCTGCAGGAGATCCAATGAGATTTAAGTCGTCGACATAGACGGCGACTATAATGAATCCTGTTCCCGATCTTTTTATAAAGATACACGGGCAGACTTTATCATTTGTGAATCCTTGCGTAGCAAGGAACTCACTTAGTCTGTTATACCACATTTTCCCCGATTGCTTAAGACCATATAATGATCTTTGAAGCCTAACAGAATAGACGTCCCGAGGTCTATCTGCTATCTCTGGTGGAATTTTATATCCTTCAGGGAGTTTCATATAGATATCTTTATCTATATTGCCATATAGATATGCAGTCACAACGTCCATGAGCTGCATTTCTAGGCCTTCCAGAGATGAGAGGCTTATTAGGAATCGGAAGGTATTCCCATCCATAACCGGAGAATATGTTTTTTCATAGTCTATTCCCGGTCTTTGGGAAAAACCTTGTGCTACAAGCCGTGCTTTGTAGCGCACAACCTCGTTGTGTTCATTTCTTTTTCTGATGAAGACCCACTTATATCCCACAGGTTTTACACCTTTAGGTGTTTGGACTACTGGTCCAAAGACTTCGCGTTTCAAGAGTGAGTCCAGCTCTACTCCTATTGCCTCGTTCCACTTTGGCCAATCGTCTCTGCGTTTACATTCCGCTAGAGACCGTGGTTCGATGTCATCGTCGTATTCAGTGACGTGAACGGCAATATCGAACGCAAAGTCGTCGTCGTCGACTGTGCTTTTTCTGTCCAGTACCTCCTTAGTACGTACAAAATTTAATGATGTTTCTCCTATTTGTTCCTCTTCAGGGGAATCTAGGAGGGGAGAGGAAGCTGGTCTGAGCTCAGTATCCTGTGTTGGGTTCATTTTTATTTCTCCAGGATTTTTTCTTTTACGAGGGACTTTGTCCTTCGAACCTGGTGGGCGTCCTCTTTTCAATTGAGGTACAGCCGTTTCTGCTGCCGGCGGATTGCATCCATCTTTGGGGATGTCAATCCTAGCTGGCGTGTTGACAGCAGGCACGTGTGATCTGACAATCTTCTGGTTATCAGTGAATTTATCCGGAAGTAAATGTACTGTATTCTGAAGATGAAGAATCTTCAGGATCTCATCTTCACATTGACTAGTACGCGGATCATAATGAGACAAAGTCTTGGTGTTCCAAGAAATGGTCTTAGAAGCGTCAGGCTTCCTGGACTGTGTGCCAAGTTTAGGAAATGAATCCTCAACAAATTCACAATCATCAAGACGTGCTTTAAATGCGTCACCCGTCTGGGGTTCAAGGTATCTTATTATAGAGGGCGAATCAAACCCTATATAGATACCCAAACGACGCTGTGGACCCATTTTGGTCCTTTGTGGAGGAGCAATTGGGACGTAAACTGCACAACCAAACACTCTCAAATGTGAGATATTCGGAGGTGCACCATAAGCAAGCTGCATTGGTGACAAAATATGGCCACCAGAGGGTCGTATTCTGATAAGCGAAGCGGCATGCAATATGGCATGACCCCAAGCCTCAACAGGCAACTGTGATTGCATCAACAATGGACGAGCAATCCATTGCAATCTCTTAATTAGAGATTCTGCTAACCCGTTCTGGGTGTGAACATGTGCTACAGGATGTTCAACTTCGATGCCAGTTGCTAGGCAATAGTCTTGAAAGACTTGTGAAGTGAATTCTCCCGCATTATCAAGACGTAATTTCTTGATTTGATTATCGGGGAAATGAGCCCGCAACTTAATAATTTGTGCCAATAGCTTTGAAAAAGCTAAGTTGCGGGTGGACAAAAGGCACACGTAAGACCACTTGGTTGATGCATCTATAAGTACCATAAAGTACCTAAATGGTCCACTTGCGGGGTGAATAGGCCCACAAATATCGCCATGTATTCTCTCCAAGAAGCTAGGAGACTCTAATCCCACTTTCAGAAGGGAAGGTCTCGTGATCAGTTTACCTTAGAAACAAGATAGACATGAGTAATCACCCTTCTGAAGAATCTTCAGGTTCTTCAGGTTGTGTCCACTTGATTGGCTCATGATGCGGTGCATCATTGCTGATCCTGGGTGACCCAGTCTGTTATGCCAAAGTTTAAATTTCGGCAAAGAATGGCACTTCTGGTGCATAATCATGTTAGCTTCTACTGGTTGAATATATGTATGATAGAGACCCGACGGGAGTCCCTTGAATCGTTCTAAGATAGTTTTTGAACCATCTTTTTGACGAGTTACATACAAATACTCATCCTCATTTATTTCATTGGTTTCTAAGTGATATCCGTTTAAACGAATATCCTTGAAACTTATGAGGTTTCTATTAGATTTCGGAGAGAATAATGCATCTTTTATTATTAGTCTCGTTTTATTTGGGAGCAATATCATTGCTTCACC